GAGGTTTCTTCCTGTTAAAAGGGAGTTTTTCCTTCCCACTGTTGCCAAAGTGCTTGCTCATAGGGGGTCATATGATTGTTGGGTTTTTCTCTGTATCTATTATTGTGCGATCTACTGTACAATATAAAGCTGGATGTATTACATGTGAACCTGTATTTATGGCTGTAGATTTCCATGGCAGTAAGTTGAGCTGATCATCTAGTGGCAAATGCTTACTAGTAACATAACCTGTGTGTACTGTTGCTAGCTGGGTTTGTGCTGCTAGTTGACAGGTCAGAGTTCCTAGAAACACTTTTTCTGCCCTTCGCTTCATGCACCCTAATGTGTTTTCATTTTAAAACAGGTAACATGCATTCAGCTCTGTCTGTACTCTGCCATTCTGGGAACCTGAAAACAGAGAGCTCTCTTTAAGGTGCGACACAGACATTCACATTTTCTTTCCAAATGGTGGTTTGGCAAATTAGGCATAATATGAGCTAGTGCCAGTCTAACCTTCAATTTAGACACATCCAACAGTCCACATCGATTTGTTATCAAATTGGGTAACACAAGCTTACAGTTTATCTCGCGATGGCCTCCATATATTTTCTGACAGTGGAACGACTCTGACTGAAAGGCTGTAAGACAAAAATGTGAGACTGACTGTTCAGTAATGTGCACATTATTTAAAGCAACCTTTGTTACAACTTGATTTACAATATTGCCATTTAAAAATGAAATAACAACACAGTTATTAATATGTACAGAAGTCTGAATAAGAGTATTTTTTATTACATTTACTAACATATTTTTTTAAATATAAATGAAATGCAGCACTTGAAAATATATTAAATGACATCTGTGTGTCACTATATTTAATTGAAAGGAAATGTTACAGGAGCACATTTCAGGATCCATGTCTGCACTCTAATTATAATGCTGAGACTGGTTGAGTTTTACTGATACCATTTATGTGTCAGAGCAGTGGGGGTGCAGCAGTCCCAAAGTTGATGAGTACAGCTACTAGAAGATGGAAGTAAATAGAGTAAAAAAACTACGGTGGCCCTGAGAGGCCAAATGGACTGCAACTTCAGAAAACACTTGCAAAAAGAAAAATGCTGCAAAAAGAAAAA